AAATTCAAGCAGAAAAGTTTGAAGAAAAATATCAAAAATCTGAAGCAGCCCTTAAAGAACAAGTTCAACAATATGAGAAATTGAAAAGAGATTGGGCGGATTTAATCGAAACTCATAAAGCAGATTTGGAAGCTTTGAAACATCGTTGGACTAAGGAGCGTAAAACTCTACAAGAAGCCAATAAAAATACAAAAGTACAACAATTGGCAGATATAGAAGCCGGTCATAATAAGCTTCAAGATGCGTGGCGGAAAGAAAAGGAATCAATTGCTAAAAAGAATCGCGTATTAAAAGAAACTCATCAGAAAGAAATCAAAGGCTTACAAAAGGTTTGTATTGTAAACATTATCATAAGTGTTCCTTCTAATAATGAATTTTGTTTATTGAATGAAGTTTTGATATATTATTTAGGAAATCGAAAAACTTACCTCCAAAATCCGAGACTTGGATAATGAGATTTCATCTATCAATGCAGAAAAAAGGAGCTTAACGTTAGAAAAAACTGCCGTAACCAAAGACAAAACAGAACTGCAACAAAAACTTGAAAATTTGGAAAAGGAATCTGTTAGATACCAATCCAAGCAAGCTTCATCTGCAGAATTAAACAAACAACTCCGTATTTTACAAAAAGGTAAATATAGCTAGCGTAAAGAAATTTTACATTATATTAAGGATCGTTTGTAGAAATTGATTGATATTATTTTCAGAGAGAGATGTTACGGTTGAGAAAGCAAATCAGAAAATTGTTGATCTTGAGGCAGCTCTTAAACAAGAACAAGAATCAAAGGTTCAATTAAACAGGGTCAAGAATAACGCTCTTAAGGAAATAACTTCCTTGAAAAACCAAAATAGAGTCGCCAATGAGGTAAGTATTTATGGTATATATAATTGCATTGTTTAAAAAATAATTATTGATATATTTATTATAGATAAAAGATTCCCTGGAAGAAGATTTACGTGCTAAAAATGAGCATATGAAGGCACTTGAAGTTGAAATCGAAAACATCACCGAACAGTTGCAATCTGAACGTCGCGATCATCAAGAAAAGAACACACAGTTGTCTTATTACGAAGATCAATTACAGTCGGAACAGGAACGTTATCGGGAGCTAATGGTTAAAGTAGCCAAGTTGGAAAAAAATAAGTCTACAGCAAGTATTAGAAGTTTATTGATGTTACAGTAGGATATAGAACTAATTCAATCATTTATTCATGCAGCCATACGATAATGAACAAATTTTCCAAATAATTGAAGAAAATAAGCGATTAAAAGACGACTTGCAAACACTTGATGCACAGATCAAAGCTGTAAGAAAAGAAATGTAAGTTCAAAGAATTAAAGTTTAAAATTATCGAGACAATATTTTATTTTTTTGTTATTAATTTTTAATAGGATTGACCAAGAAGTTAACGGCCAACAAAAAACTGCTAATAACGAAGAGGTAAAGAAAGAATTCATATATTATATTCATTTTATGAATACGGTTATTAAATAATATTTACTTTCTTATTGTAAAAAAGGATGACTATTTTAAACAAAAATATAAAGACGAAAAAAGGCAGCACGTTGATGATTGTAATCTTCTTTTTAAAGAAGTAAAATTTCTTAAAGCTAAATGTCATAGGGAATCTGGGTTTCGGGCCGATTTATGTTATCAAAAAAAATTCTTAATGCTACTTATTGGTGGCAGTGAGTCGTGGTAATTTTCTAAGTTTATAATCTAATTTAATTTTCATTTCTATGAATAAATCTTTTTTTTTTTTTTTTTTTTTGACAACCTGCTAATCATCATAAATATTTAGTGAACAAGCAACGTTACTTTTGATTCAGAATATCCATAATCCGTCGCGAAGTGCCTACATACAACCTTCTCCTTTGCTTGTCAAGTTCCGGGGTGTTGTTAATGCTGTTATTGCTATTCAAAGGATGAGGTAAAATATCATGTACTTGAGTAATCTTACAAAATTAGATTTAATTAAAACCGAAATTTTCTTGTAGGATTCTTAAAAACAATTGGGGAAAACACAAGAATATGAAGAAAAATATTCAACAACAATACCAAAGACTTCATAAGAATAATCAATAAAATTGGAAGTTGAAGAAATTAGTTGTTGTATTGATCATAATTTAGTTGGATAATTAATTATTAAAAGCATGTCCTCTAGATTATATCAAAAAAAGTATAGACGATATTATAATTATTTAAAGATTTAATTTTATTAATAAAATGCTAATTAATACTAGAATTCTTACCAAAATTTTTATTTATTAATTCGATAACTTTATTTTTCTAATTGTATTATGTAAAATGATAAAAAAGAATTCTATAATGTAACATGATATATATATATATACTGTATATATATATATATGTTAATATAAATGTATATATATAACAAGTCAAAATTTTAATAAAATAAATAATTTGTCTCCAAATTTTTTTAAACAAAACAAAAACAAAAACAAGTCAAAATTTTAATAAAATAAATAATTTGTCTACTCAAATTTTTTTAAAAGAAAAAAAAAATGTAAGATTTAAAGCTAATAAGCATTCCATTTAAATTTTTATGATATCATACTATCAAAAGCACCAACTCTTAGCCTCAAATCAGGTTTATGTTTAATAGCCATTTTAAGTCCTTCAACAGTAACATCAAAATGGTCTAAATGATGAAAGGGTAGTTGATTACTGTAAGGATTGACAATTTCAAAACTATCTAAAGGTAATCTTTTAATAATTTTTTCTATTGAAATATCATTAACAATTTTTGAAGAATTTGATACTACCAAAGTTAATTCTGTTAAATTTGGGCACGTACTCAATAATCTTAATAAACCAGAAGAAGTCAATGCATTAGGTGAAAATGCATATGATTGTATAAAATAAAATGATTTTAATTTTGGTAATAATGATATTTTTGATGAATTGTCTTTATATGAAGAAGAGGAAGAATATGATGTTCGTGTTATATTCTCATTGCTACTTGTATTAGGTATATTGTCATCATCGTATCCTTCTGGTGTTGTTATTAAACTTAACAAAGGTTTATCATCAAGATCACAATTCTTTATTGTTAATCTTTGTAATGTTTGAGAACATCTTCCTTGAATAATTGACTAAAAAAATAAATAAAAAAATAAATCAAAAATAAATTTTGAAAGAAAAAGTTCTCGATATGATACATACGAAAATGACAGAACTTGTTACTTGACGACACCAAATACTTAATTCTGTGAGAGGACATTTTTCGGCTATATTAAGAATCCCATAACCGTTAAAATATCGCGATTCCTACATAAAAATAAAGTTAAAAAAAGAACTTTGTCTTTTTTTTTTTAAAAAAAAAGGAACACAATTAATTTACCAAAGTAAGAAATTTAAGATTAGGACAAAATTCCCCTATTGAAAAAGATAAAGCATCGCTCAAGAAAGGGGAAGAACCATGTAAAGCAACATGTTCCAAATGTTTTCCAAATTTAGCAAAAAAATTAGTCCAAATGGTAGATTCTCCGCAATCTCTCCAATCTAAATCCAATGTAAACGATAATAATCTCCAATTAACATCTATACTAGCCAATTTATATAATAAATTTGCCAATTCAGCTGAACGAGTTTTACTTGGCGTACGTGGAGTTCTAGCTGTTATATAAATAGTTCTAATGTATCTTGCATATGGTAATGTTTGATTTTTGGACTCAAGAATACGGACAAAAGAAGTAAGTTGACTAAAATATGTTATTTGCACGTCTCTCCAAAAAAATGGTACTGCATTGCGAAAAAATTGAGTATTCACTAATAAACAACTGTAAAGATATTCTCCTAGATCACAATGCAGTTGACGAAATACTTCATACCATACGTTATCTGTTAAATAACCTGAAAATTGTTGGGGTTCAGAAGGTGAGGTTGGTTGTGTTGTTGTTGAGGTAGAAGCTGGAAGTGGAAGTGCAACTATAGAATGCTGTAGAACTACTTCCTCTCCCTGTTGCTCAGGTTGAGTATCAAAGGATCGCTGATCTACTTGTTGATCCTCTTGACTTACTTGTTGTAGTGTGGGTGACTCTTCTATCCCTTTCAAACTTGAAGTCATTTTATTTGCAACCGCAAAGCGCTCTTTTGGTTAATCAAAATACAAGTGTCTTGGTAAAATAAAAGTCGTCATTGAGTGGTTCAAAAATTCGAACGCGTGTTTTACCATAATTGGTATGTAATCATTATGAAGATCTGATAACTTAAATGGAAATTAAAGCCACGATTAAAATAAACGGTCCATTGAATTCTTTTGATTGGCTGATTAAGTTGACAAGGGCGACCAAAAAAAAAATTTGGTCGCTCCCACGACTTTTTAAGGTAATTTATAGCACACACGTGAAAGAATGAGTGAAATATATGACATTTTAATCCTAAGCATATAATTTGGAAATTTCTTACTTCCAATTACGAGATTCTCACATCGCCTTCCATTAACTCCAAATTTCCGATTAATTTATCAAATTTTACTTTGTAAAACAAAGACCAACATAAATCATAAAGAGGATGTATGGGAAGGTTGCTAGGAAAATCAGGTTCCGAGAATTTTTTAACAAAATTTTGATTTTTTATTGCATGTTTTTTGATTTTAGTTAGATTTTCCTACCATATTTATAATATGAATTCTATCTTGAGAATAGCAGAGGTAAAAAAATTAAAATAAATGAAAAAAAATAAAATAAGGAAATGATTTTGATTCACTCTTTTCATTGAATTTCTCCTCACAGAATTCTACTCCGCCAATTATCCGAAAAAATTATTGTTTTTTTTCCTTACGATTCTGCGCCAAACTTGAAGATTCTAGCACGTGAGGTTGCTTATGTAAGATAAATTACACCAAAATTTTTGAATTAATTTTTACGTCACTAATAAGTTCGTGTTTATTTTTTTATCCTTGGTTAATTTTCTTTTCTAATATTGCGAGTCTTTTTCCTTTTGGAACCACGACTCTAAACCATTTATTTCATCATGGCAGATTTCCCAACTTTTGCTTATCATGTTAAACCACTTTTTGATGACTTTATCAAAAACGTTACGAACTTTAACGAATTGGATTCAGCATATAAGACTAAAGGCTTGGTTTGGTCGGTAAAAGAATTTTATCTATACTCTGACCCACTTGTGTCAGCTATCGCTTTATGTCTTGCTTTTGCTTTCTGGACCTGGGTATTAAGTATTTTTACTAGGAACTTTTCTCAGGTATATACCAGTGCGAGTTTGTTTTCTTCTTAACTTGAATTAAATGAGATCTATTTTGATTCATTTGATATATTACATAACAATATAATCTAGAAAATTTACTCGGTTTATTAATTAGTCGTTAAATTTAGTAATTGACTATATACTTCTCAGAGGAAATTTCTCTAAGAAGTATCGTATATCGATCTCTAATTTTATCTGATGATTTCTCCTTTATCCAATTAAGGTTGATAGACTTTGGAGTATACTCCCTGTATTTTTTACGTGGCATTTTATTCTTCACGGATATCTGAATGCACGTGGTATCATACTTGGTTCGCTTACTACAATTTGGGGAGCGCGTTTGACGTATAATTACGCACGGAAAGGTGGTTATAAATGGGAAAGTGAAGATTATAGGTAATGTTTATATTTACTTAAGACTTGAGAACATTTACTTAAATATCTTATTCTTGACTGTAAACCGTAGATGGGCATACTTAAAACAACATATTCATTGGAGCATATTCGAAATCACAAATATTATATTTACATCATTATTTCAATGTTTTCTTTTATTGGCCATGACATTACCATCTTATGTTGTTTGGTACAATGCCTCCACATCACCGTTGAATTTATGGGATTTATTTGCTAGTATAATGTTTGTTGGATTTTTTACGGGAGAATTGATTGCCGATGATCAACAATGGAAATTTCAAAGTGAAAAGCGTAAGTTAATTGCCAATGCCAATAAAAATTTATTAAAGGAAACAACAATTTTCGAAGGAGATTACTCTTTGGGATTTCTAATTCATGGCTTATTCCGTTATTCAAGGTAATTGTCAAAACCAAAAGAGTTTGTTTTAGAAATTTGATTTGAAGTTATAATGCTTTGGTTTTATTTATACACTCTATAGACACCCAAATTATTTTTGTGAGATGGGAGTTTGGTGGAGTTATTACTTATTTTCCGTCGCTGCGGTACCCTCATCTTCCAAATTACAATGGATATTGAATTGGACAATCGTTGGAACCTTGAGTTTGACCATATTATTTCAAATTACCACTCATTTAACTGAAATTATTACTAAGAATAAATATCCAATGTATGAATCATATCGAAAAAACACAAGTCGATTAATCCCTTGGTTTCCCGGTAAAGATATTACTAAAAAAAACAAGTAAAACTAGAGGATGATTTGCACTTTTTATATACAACTGTAGTTTATTTAATAAAAACTTTGTTGTATATATCATATTCGTTTTTGTATCGATTTTAAAGATAACTGTTATAATAAAGAACACTATACTTATAGAATTAATATGTATAGAAAAAGACTAAATTATTGGTACCAAGTTATCCAAACTCTTAAATCTATATTTGTCTTCTTCAACTGATTTATATATAGTAAAGATTTTCTCAAAACCTTTTTTTTCTTTTTACAAAATTATCCTTTTTTACCATTTATTAATTTTTTTTTTCCATTAAAATCTGTTGTAATATTATTAGAACTTGAAGTATGATAAACCCAATTTAAGAAACGTAACATAGCTATCAAAGAATAATGGGTACGTGGAGATGATACACTATGATATGCATGATGCGCTCCCTTAAGCAAACATGACGAAAGTATGAATTAAATTTTTTTGTTTTAACAAAAAAAAAAATAATAATAATAAAATAATTTATAATGACAATTCATTTATTGGTTTACTTACCGGAAATTCTATGTAAACTAGGTCGGATTTAGGGGAATATTTACGAAAAGTTTTTATAAACTCTCTACAACTCTTTATGTTTACTAATTGGTCATTGTCTCCACTACAAAGGTGAAAAAAGTGATGGTTAATTCAAAATGCAAGGTTATTCTCTCCAAAAAATTTCTTTCAACACATCAACGTTACAATATTGCACTTTTCCAATTAATCATATAAAATGTACTACTTACTGGAATACCAAGAAAGGTACGATTTTTTCATCATTATTACCTTTTCTCTCTACTAAAATTTCAGGAGAAGCATTTTCCAACATGTCCCGAACATCTTTTTCATCCTCATCACCGCTTTTACCACAAATTTCCTTAACAAACCATTTAGTAAATAAAGGAGTGAAAGCATTATGTTTATTTGTGACATCATAAACACCATTAATACAAGCACATGCTTGTACTTTAGTATCAACATCTTCAAATCCTGGTTGATAACATTTATCATTCGCAGTAAGAGACATCAAAGCAGCCAAATGACCACCAGCCGAATCACCTGAAACCGCTACAAAATTTGGATCCCCCCCATATGAAGCAATATTTTCTTTAATCCATCTTAACGCTCTTTTACAATCAATTAAACAAGCAGGATAAGGATTTTTCGGTGCTAAACGATAATTAATTGAACATACTATCCATCCATTACTTGATAAATAAAATGGTTGCGGGAATGGTATTGATTTATCCATTGCTATCCAACTACCGCCATGTATAAAGAGCATTATTGGACGGCGATCAGCTTTTTTTACATGTTTTGGTACATAAACATCCAATTTTAAATATGATGCATTTTCTTTACCAATCTCTTGTAATTCTTGTAGTGTTCCATATGTAACTTTCATACACGTAAAAGAGAGATATTTCGTTAGGGAAGGAGTAATCAAATATCACCACATGAAATTTTTTTTCTTTCCCCCATCACCTTTTCTTTTTTTTTATTTACGTGTGACACTTACTATTTCGAAATACTTTAACGTTTGTTGGAATGTAAATTGGCAACATAAAACGAAGCCAAAAATTCGTTCTAAAAAATCAAAATTGATTTTAACTTACTGCGCATTACATTTAATTTGAGCATATTGGTACATTTCACAATTAACTTACGACGTGATATTGGGTAATTCGGGACCGTAACGTTCAAATGTATGAGTATATGCATGTACGATTCGACGAGATTTATAATTCTTATAAAAATTATGTGATAAGATTGACGTAGTAAATATTTCCGAAGTAAACGCTAGCAAGAGTATTAAAGGTGATTTGGCTATTACGAATAAATGATGAAAGTCAGATACACTTGTTTCTTATCCCAAAATTATATATATATATATCTCAATTGGTTACGTACAAAATGAAACAACAATCCAAGCGTCCATAATAATCACTGCAAACCACATCCAAACTTTAAATGAGATAATATAAAAAGGGAACTCATTGAAGACCGTTCCAATTGTGGTTGTGACAACATTAATCCAAAAATTCCAACTTTTAGGAGGCCAGTGAGCTACATAAGTCAAAAACGCTAATGTAAAATTTATTGCAATGTAGGATGACCACACACTTAGCGTTAATAAAGGTGATGATGCGGTTTCCATTTCCATTTGGAAACTTTAAGGATGAAGTTATTTCTGATACATTTATTCGTTACATTTATAATCGCGAATGGCCCGTCGGAAAAATGTATATCAATAAATGTTTTTTCTTTATAATCGTTACATAATATAATTATAAAAGCAAATATAATTTTTTCTTTCATGTGAAATACGATGTTATCAAAAATTGATTGGCAATGTGATGATCCCGATTAGATGGGAGATTATGTAAAAGCATATGAAGAAAATAATCTTAAGATTTAATCAAATTATATATACAACCCAAAAGATAAAAGTTAATAAAAATTCTTTCTTTATACGATTTATTATTAAGTTATATGTATAAGTTCAAATCATCTTTTATTAATTGTTTTTTAACAAATTTATTTTTAATATATTAATTAATTAAAAGAAATAAAAGATTATCTAATAGATTTTATTGATTTTATATATTTTTATATAAATTTTTTTTACAAATATTAAATTTCTTAAGAAATTATTCTTTTGAAATATATAAATAACTAAAAAGTTTTAATATCATTAGCTAGATATAATAAGATAATAATAAAATAATTTTTTTATAATTAGTTAAGAATTAAAATATTATATTAATTTAATTTGATCTAATACAAAAAGGTTAATATATCAATAAATCTATAATAAAAAAAAATTTTTTTAAAAATTAATATGAATGTTTAAATTATTTTATTAATACTTTATATTTTAAGATAATTTCAATTTTCTTAAAGTTTTAAAGGTCTTATTAAGACATTTTTTTCAAAACTTAATAATAACTTTAGAGTTAATATTTTTTTTAAAGGTTTATAATGATTTGTCTTTGATAATAAGAATTAGAATGTGAACTAATTCTATTAATTACATCTTTTATAATTGATCAAATTTTCTCAATTAATTAAAATTTACAATAGTAAGATGAAGTATAAAATAATTGTGATCATACTTTTTAGTTATTTGAACATACATAAAAGGAATATTAGGTATGTAAGAATTTTTATATATATTATATTAAAATTTATAAAAATTATTAAAATTGTCTAATATATAAATTATTAAAATACAATTTTAATAATAAATCAAATATTTTTATATAAAAAAAAGATTAATATAATAATAAAATAAGAGTAAAAAATTTTTATTAATATAATTATACTAATAATAATAAGATATTTTAGATAAATTAAAAAATATTTTTGATAATAATATTTATAAATAATTATTAGAAAAAGTTTTATTTAATGATAGACAAGATATTATATTTATAATATATTATAATAAATATTAAATATCTAAATAAAAAAACTTGTTAATTCTATTATTAATTTTTAGATCAAAATAATCTAAAGATTTTAATACATTTTTAAAATCATTTATTAATAAAATAAAAGAATTAAAAATTAAATACTTATTTAAATACTTATTTAATTTATCTTTTATTAATAAAATAAATTTAAAATTTGTTATTTTAAATTATAAGAAATATTACTTATTATGATATATATATATATATACAAAAATAAATTTATATTTCATACTTATTATAATTATATAAATTAGTAATATTTTAGTACTTTTAAAAATTATAAATATCATTAATTATAATCATATTTTGTTTATAAATTTTATAACATTAAAGAAGTATATTTATAAAAATATAAATACATTTATTTTTTACTGATTTAAAAAAATATATATAGTTTTTATTTGATTTTTAATGAATAATTTTTAATTATATAGGGGACGGTTAGTAAAAAAGGGGAAATCTATTTTTTAGTCAAAAATTTTTTTATTGGCTCACTCTACTGATCATGGTCATGTGAATAAAATTAACTTACAGTAGCGGTCATAAGTATCTGACCGCCTCTAACTCTAGCTACAAGTAAGTAAATTCAAAAATTTTTTTTTTATTTAAAAAATACATAACCAACTAATTAAAATTAATACATTGTGTAGTCACCATCTGACTCTATAAGTGCAGCTGTACGCCTTTTCATGCTAGCTACCAAATT